AAATTTCAAGTTAGTAAAAAAGCATTCTAAACTATTTTAATTTTTAAATATTTTGCAGAATTTAAATTTTAATTTTAATTTAAAATTTAATGTAATTTTTACTTATTTTACATGTTTTTTAATCATTTTAATAATGTCAAAACTTTAAAAAACATTTTTGTTTACTTTTTTAAATTGTAAAATTAAAAATAAAAAATTATGAAAGTAGAATTGCATGTAGTGAAGAAATAAAACATTTAACTGAAGTAGAAAATCATTTTAAGTGATTTAATAGAACAGAAAATTAATTAAAATATTTATTTATTTATTTACTTATTAAGCTTAGAAAAATCTTACTATGTTAGTTGTGTTTATCTTGTTAAATCCATTAATTTTTTTATTAAAAAAATAATAATAAATGTGTGGGAATAGATATTTAATAACTTAAAATAGTTATTTAATAATTTTCCTAATTTATATATAACATTAAAAAATCGTATATTAAAGCTTTTTAACAAGTATACCACATTATAATAAAATTAGGTCTTCAGAACTTTTATACAGCTCGAAACTTTTTTAGAAAACGTTTTTTCTAGAATTTTTTCTAGAATTTTTAAATGTAGTTTAAAATCATTTTCTTATGAGAATGATTTTCTGAAATTTCATCACATTTCTTAGATTTTTAGAATTAATTTTTTGTTTTTTAATGTTCCTAATTTTTTATTAATATAATTTTCTGGTTTCTTTTATAATTTTGATTAACATTTGACTCTAAAATTAATTAAAACATTTATTAAGGATAAAAGATTTAATATTAGACATTTAAAAAAAAACAAAAACGAACTATATATAAATTCTTTAAATTATATAATTAATATTATTTTCTTTAAACAAATGAATTTAAAATATATCACATTAATTAGAACATTTATTCAATGTTTAATTTTTTTATTAATAAATCGATTTAATATTTATTTTTTAAAAAGAAATTTTTAAAGATTTATATGCTGTTCATTTACAAATTAAAGAAATGTTAATAAAGCAATTGATATCTTTGATATTAATTACAAAATTCAACAATTTATTTTTAATGATATATTATTAAATCATTTAAAATCTTAATTAATACATTAGAAAATATATTTTTATTTTTAAAATTCTTGAAGTTTTAGCATAATAACGGATCCAGGAAGTGACAACAAGGACAATCGAGCTTTGTTATTTCTTTAAAATAGTGTATTTTAATCGATAAAATAAATATTTATCAATACTTTTCAATCTTGTTATAAATTTTTATAAATTTATGTAGTTTACTTTATTGTAAGTAATTATTAAAGCAGTAAAACTTTTATATTCCTACATTGTTCGTTTTATTTACTCGAATTAAGAATCGCTCACTCAATGACTTGTTTTAAATCTATTCCTGCTTCAAAGTCAAAAATAAATGTTTGCTCTTAATAAATGAGCCATGTAATGTTTATAAAACATATTGTTTTTAACTAGTTAATACTTATAGAACTAGAACACAGCATGAGATAAATGACGCTTTGTTTTCATTAAAATAAAGCTGAAAAATCTTAAATTCTTTCTAAACATCTATAATATTCAATAAAAGAAGAGAAGGCAAACTCTTAATTACAGAGGCATAATGAATAACTTCTTGATTTGCTTTTCATAATACTTATACTTTATCAAAACTTGTAAAACAGCTATTTATAAGTATTTTAAGTGATTAATAATTTACAAAACAGTACTTTGATTAAAATTAACAATGATTTTGATTGATTTAATTTGTCTAAATATAAACTAGTTAATGTAAAGATTTATATGCGAATTTTTAGATAGAAATATCTTTAAAAAATCAATTCAAATTTTGAGAACCTCCATTTTCTAAATGTATTTTCTGTAGGAAATGAAGAAAATTAGTTCGTTAAATTATTTTGTAATCTTACAGAAACACCTGGAGTTCTAAGATTCGTATCTTATCCCCTTATACAGTAAATGGCAATCTCTAGTCATGTCTAGACAGAACTTTTTGAAGAATTATCTAAATTATTTCTATATAAATTTGGCAACTTAATTATGGTCCACATAGTTCATAAAATTAGAACAAACTGTAGAATCCGGGAAATTTAAAAATATGTAATTTATAACAGTATATAAAATATATTTAGGGTTCGATATACTTCATCAAAGGGAATAAAGAAAAAACAATGTGCTCTAATTATTTTTGGAGGATGTTCATTAAAAATATTTCAAAAAGATTTATTCGATTTTTAATTATTCGTTTTGGATCATTTCCGATGAGGGTCGGAATTTTGACCTTCTGCACATAAACAACACCTCTTTTGAATAAAATGGGAACAAGTAATCGACTTTCTTGCTCACTCCAAATCGGTTCATTTAATTATAAAGACACGAATGAATAATGTTGCAGAAATAGAGCTAAACTAATTAACAATAGGCGTGTAATTTCGGGAAGTGTTAAGATCTAGTTTCTTTTTCATATGAAAATTAACATTGTACAAATTCTCATTATCTTCTTAACAACAAAAATTATTAGTGTCAAAGTTGAGATATTCATTACTTTGCCTTAGAAGCATTAAATATATGTAAAATAGAATACTACTCTAAAATATAATATTATTTTGATTTATAATTAGTAGATATTCACTATTTTCTGGAAAGAAACTAAACACTTCTTTGCTAAAAATATTTACTCTTAATAACCATCTAATGTTCCCTGAGGTGTTCCTTGTAATGGGATTTAGCCAATGTTCTAAACTACAAGTATACAGTATAATGTGATTCAGGTAGATACAGATAATAAATTGCAGGAACGTTAAATACAATTGTAAGTTCGTTCTAGTAATAATTTTTTTAGTAATTTTTGCATAATTAATATATTTATAATGCCTATTTTATTTCTTCTTGCTTACACCGTCTTAAATTTTTATGAATATAAAATATTTTACAAAAACTGTGGCTTATAAACGTCTTTATTAAGAGCTATCAATCATCAGCAACACTTTTTCAAGAAAGCAAGAACAGTATTTTGTAGGTTTCTATTAAATCTATCGAACTTTATCTTATATTTAACTGTTATTATAATACTATAGAATATTCTGTTTAAATAATATACTGGGAAAAATATACAGTAATATAATTGGGTATAGTTCAGGGTAGACTCGCTTTTGAAACTTATTCTTTGAAAACCGTTTAGTCTTGTCGTTGAACTTAATGTTAGAAATTAGATTACGCTCTTTTGAGTTTTAACTATGTAATACCGCATAGAAATTTCCAACAAAATATATGGTATTTCATACAATCATAATAGAAAACTTATACTATACTAGTTCCTAATTACATCTATTCCTAAAACATTATAGTATTCCAAACAGTAGTCTATAGCCGTTGAAAATGACTTAATAAGTTTGGATTGACGTAATAAAGCGATCTGCCAAGGGAAATAAGTGCCTCCAGGAAAGATTTTCTAGAGAAAATTGGCTCCTATTTAAGTGTAGACACATGAAGAAAACGTTAGACTGTTGGTCAGATGCGAACCCGAGAACCAGTGTTGTTATTTTATCCACTGTGTTGGACTCAAAAGAAAACTAGAGGAATAATCTCATCGTGCGTACTGTAGTTACTTCAGTATAAAGACTATTAAAATAGTTTTAATATTAAAAATATCTCTTCTTTTTAAAATTATTGTTCGAGGAAAGCAAAGAAGAAACAAGAAAGAATAAAGCAAATTGCAAAAGGAGCAAATGCCTCTTTCGATCCTTTCCTGTGGACATCCTTAGTAATAGATTAGACTACATATTGCTAGAAACAATATATTTTGCTATACTCTACAGTTTTCAAATGTCATTAGAAAGATATAAATATCTATGTAGATCTATACTTTTGCAGCAACACAATGTCAGAAAGTTCAACGTTTAATTCTATATTTTATTATTAGAATGAATAAACAACTCAGGCCAATATATAACATTGAAATTAACTTATTCTCTTTATAAATTAAAATAAATAAATAAACTACTAGAAAATTTCTGTGCATATTTAAATATCAGAAATTTTTAGAAGTTTTTTCTTAAGTTATGGTGTAAGCAACACTGTCAACTTTTAATTTATAAATACTATTAGTTAAGGTGAACTTTCAATAGCGATCTGATATTGTAGATGGAACAATAACGACTTTTCTTTTCATGCATAAAATACACTTCTTTTTATGTAGTTAATTGGCTTAAAGAATGAAACAATGTATGCATAAATTAAAAGATAAAAATCCGTTAACTACAGTTCCAAGGTCATTCAATGAAAAGAATCTCTTTGAATTTCTTCTATGATATGACAATTTAAATATATGGCTAATAAAAATTAAATACAACTGGCAAGTTTATTCATATTTTATGAGCCATGATGAAAATATTTCATGTTGAAACATCTCCAATAAAGTAAACATTAAACATTTCCTGTTATAAACTATTTCTGAACGGTTTAATTTCAATAGTTTTACACGTGGAAAGATCAGCATGCGAAGGTCATGTACACATTTATTGAATTTCCACATTGAAGGCCTTCACATTGCTATGATATGACATGGTATAACTACCTTATTATGATATATAACATAAAATACAATAAAAAAAAAAAGATGGAAAACGTAGTCAAAGAAAGTTTTGAAGTACAGGAGATTTATACGTTAAAATTTTTTTGGATAAGTGTTTGGCAATGTTATCATTTGAAAAATGAGAACAAACTGAAGTCGGAATTCTAGAAATGTTACACTTAAAGCTAAATTTATAGAGCTAACGATGGAGAAGGAATTGTGAATTCTTCGACAAGAAACTATCGAGTCACGTTTTCGATCATTCTTCTTTAGAATCGAGGTCAATCTTTGTTAACGATCTATACCGACTTTTGTAAATAAGTATAGTGTGACGAAAAAATGACGTCAACAAAGGCAATCTGTGTATTTACATCTCGCTTTTGCTTCCTGTCTACTTGGTTTCGGTCGAGTAAACACGTGTGAAGAGTAGAATCACGCATGCTCTGCACCTGATACAAGTGCGGCCCAGTCATTTGGAAAGTGGTGAGAGTGTTTGTAGTGGATACGAAGGGTTGCAGACACGGAGCATCTTGTCTCACGTAAGTCCCTTTCATTTTTTAAAAGCCGTATGATGTTTAGCATTAAAACACGAAAATGGCAATTTCATACAAAAAATAACCGTTCTTTTTCATTCGGAAACATATAACTCTTAACTACATAATTAAAATGACATTCAAAATATTTTTTCAATGCTACTTGTTGCTATTTATTTAACAAAGCAGGAAAATATAAAGACTTTTTTACGTTAAAAAAATATTGCTAAATTTAACTGAAATAAAACCTTTTTTTTGTTTAATGTAGTTTGTACGTTATTTTGCCCCTAATTTTAAAACTGAGTCGTAACTGGACCATGTCTAAATTGCTATTTTCTTAAAAAAATCGTAATAATGCGTGATTATAAAATTAATAAGTGAATTTAAATTATAGTGCAGTTATTTTTGAGGGGGTTAAAAATTAATACAGTATTTTGTCAATATGTAGATAACACTTGTAACTATTTCATTATAATATTTGTTTATTTGCTTATATTTATTAACTTAGGCTACATTTATTTTCTGATACTTTGCTTATAGTTCTTCGCTTAGACTTTCTTGCATTTATTTGCTTATAATTATTTGTTTACCCTTCCTTACTTGCTTCTTACACTTCGGGCCGCGGAGAGCGATGACGGCCTTTGGGACTAGCCCATGATCCATCTCTTCATGGGTTATCCCTTCTTCTAACGTGATACTCGATTTATTACAGTTCTTTTCTTCTCTCTCTGCTCTTTGATGTCACGTAAATTAATTTTCTAGAATTCATAATTAAAATTTTATTACAAAGATTCCGACTCGGGTCTCTTAACAAGCCCTAAGGTTACACTCCCGTCTTCTCCTCTTCCTCTTCCTCCTCCTCCTCGTGGATCCTGAATACGCTTATTTACTTATTCATATTTTCCCTATTTTCATTTAAATTATTTACCTGTAATTTAATTTTCGTATTTCTAAATTACACAAATAGTTCTCAGCAAATAGATTAAAATTCTCTATCATTTATTTAATGTTAAAGAAAAGTATTGCCTTAAGGGAATATCTTTTCTAGAATAAATCAGATAAGTTTTTGAAAGATTTTTTTAATAAAGAAATTCGTTTTTCTAATACTCGAACAAATTGCTAATGTTAGCCTTCAGGCAAATATCGTATCATTTTATTACCTAACAACAATATAAATTATTATCGAATATTTATAATACTTTATAATAAAATAAATTTTATTGATTCGAAAAAATTCGAAAATATGAGAAAAGTTTTAATTTTTCATAATTGAAAATTAATTGATTGAATTATTTTTAAATAATTGAACAGCTTACTTTATGATAACCTTTACTTCAGATAATACAGTATTAAAAGAATGTTATAAAATAAATTATTTTAAAAAGTGTAAAAATTTCTACAGATTTTTTAAAATTTTATAGCTCTAATATTATTCAAAAATTAAAATAAATTTAGAAAATATAATCTTAGCTTGAATATATTTTTCAAATTATTTTATCTTTAAAAATAAAGTTATAGAATTTAATTCAGATTCTATATTTTGTAATTAGAAACTTGTCAAACAGTCTAAAAACATTAATTTATAAATTAGATAAATTTATAATAATTATATTCTTAAATAATGCATCTAAGGTGTTGAAAAGTATATCTATTTGCCCTCATAACAAATATATTTATCACTAGTGAAAAGATATAGCCTACTCATAATAGTAACATAATAATTAAACCATTATTCAAGTATATTATGAATTTATTCTTACATTTATGGCAAATTTATATCCATATCAATAAAATAACAATTAAAACATTATCCAAGTATACTCACAATATAATGGCTAATATTGTACAAAAAGTATGGATAAACATTTACCAAGAGTGCAAGTATATTTTCTTAAAGTATATGAAGGTAGCCATCCTATTTTTGTCATGGCAAATATTATTATTACTACTGTAAATATGGGTGCACATTTCACGAATGCAAGTGTACACTCATAACAGTAATGTTATAGTTAAACTATAACATTCATTCAAGTATGTTTAACTATATTACTGTATGGATACATCGTGATAAAAACATGCCAATATTTACTACAGCAACCACATTTCGTTACGAGGGCAAGTAGGATGGATATTTTTATATATTTTATGGATATAACTTTACTGATAGAATATATATCCATAATATTAGGCTATAGACATACTATAGCCTACTATCACAAAAATTCGTTATAAGAAAATTATATATATTTTAAATGTAAATTTTCTTGAAATTATTCGGAAATTGTAACATTAAGGATAATGACTTTTCTAGATTTAGGGTAAAGAGGGTGATATCAATGATAACATATACTGTACATTATCTGGTTTACTTTATTATTGTTCTAGTTCTGGTTAGTGACTTGAAATGCTGGAAATATTGTACAAGTTGAATATACCGTACTTTAAAACTTGTTTAATTTGAAAATAACCTTCAGTTTTTTGTTATAGTGCCTAAAAACTTTCTATTTATTGGCACAAATGTAACATTTTTAACTCGGTATAAAAATACACTTTCATTTTTACCTATAGTTATCAATAACGTCTAGCACTAGTTCTATTCAACTTTGGGAAGATTGAATTTAATACATCCATTTTATTCCATTGAAATTATAACAAAAGTTTTAAATATCTAATATCATTTTTATTTATTTATCAATTTTATACGTTTCTAGAAATTATTAATAAAGTTAGATACAAGTACGTGTGTAAAAATTTAGAATTTTTATGTATAAATCATAGTAAAATCTAATTAGATTCCCAACCCGTAGCTCGCGACTCCTCGACGATCTTCCTGGGTAATAAATGCAGTGTTGAAAAAAGGATGGCTCGTTAGGGAGTGTTAGTTTAGCGTTGAGATAATGTTAGTAATGCATATATTTATTCATTCATGTATACTGGATATAATACACGCTCAATTGAAGACCATCAACTGATTTGAATACCTGTGACTGAATAATCCGTAATTTACTTATCACGATTTAAAAAATAACAAAAAAAAAAAGCTATGGTAATCTAAATTACACATTTGATTCATGACACTGAAACCTGTGATTAGTAATCGCGGGGATTTCTAGAAATATTCGGTTTGGATCCGTTGGTTGTTTCTAGTCGAGTGGCGTCACACTTGGCTGAGAAAGGGAGGGAGGAAGGTATTGTCGTCGAACCATAAAGTGCCGTTCTCCGTAAAGCAGGTAGGAGCTCACGGAACTTGTAGAAGGGCACAGATCGGTAGCCAAACCAATCGAGTACAACGCATCATATTGCTAATTACAGTCATCGGCGGAAATAAGAATTGTCTCTAGGAAAACAAAGTTCTCGGAAGAAATTTCGAAATAAAATCGTACTTAGTTTAAAGATTGCATTTAGTTTGATTTCCTGTTCTTTGTTTTTCATATTATAATGAAAGTAATCTTTAAAAAAAAAAAAAAAAATAGGATATTAGAGTTGAAGAAGATATATAGGCCTATATAGAATGTGGACTAGTGTAAAAAGTATGGACTGACAGCGATGAATATTGTCTATTGGAAAGATAACAATAGGAACTAAAAGGTACAAATATTATGTATTAGAAGTCACAACAGTAAGGACTGAAAGGCATAAATTTGTAGATCGAAAGCCACAATAGTGTGGACTGAAAGACGTAATGACGTTGATTAAGGCGTAAAGGGAACTGAAAGCAAATGCGTGAAGTAGATTTACAATCGAAAGTTGTTTTTTTTTTTTTATTATTGACTTGGGACTTGAAAAGCTACGAAGAAATGTTATGGATGTCAAAATTCTGGAGTGAAAGGCGTATTGTGGACATCCTGAAATTCCTGTTTTAATCTCAAACAATAACTAAGAGTGCTCTATTTTTAAATAATTTATTAAAAATTCACATATGTTTAATCGAAACAAAATATTTGAAACATAAACATATCTATGTAATTTTAACAATGGATTTGTCATTTTCTGTTTCAATTCTATTTTAGGTACTATTGATAATGTCGTAAAAAGTGGAACGTTTTAAAAGTTATTTTTAGCGTAAATGTTTCATATATTTTAGATATAAAAATGAATCAACATTTAAAATAGTTTCCATTGACATATTTTTCGGGAAATTTTTTATGAAAAAAAAAAACCATGAAATATTTTAAAACTTTTTACGAAATGAAATTATTTAATATCAAATAATAATTTTTAATTTAAATTAAACAAAATGTAGAACATAAATTTCTATTTAATAATGTCACGCGTTATCAAATTATCTTTGAATCACGCCACAAAATGATTTATTATGAGATGAAATTATCGTGTTGCATGATCATCTTTAGTCGCACTACTTATTCTTCTCTATTTATCTCGTCGTTAACAAAGTTACAACCAATTATTTTAACTGCATCAGTTATAAAATAAGTTTAATATTCGAAAATCTCTTCGAGCGAAACCAGTTTCAAAGTAGTTCTCTGCGTTTAAAGTAAGCATCACTGAATAGAAATTATTATGATTTTTTTTAAATTTCTTTTAAAAAATATGTTTTTTTATATGTTTTCTTATGCAAAATTAAACAAAATTGACCAGAAATTAGGTAAAGAATTAATTATAATTTACAGTATTACGTTACTTACGTTGCTTTATACTTAATTCAAAATCCAATTTTTAATTAAATTGTAATTTATAGTAAAATTATATTTAAAGTTAATTTAGAATATTTTACAATTATAATAAGCCGGTATGCAGGAAGAATAAATAAATAAAGCCTTGACATCTTAATTATCATAAAAATCTAAGCTAAATCTTCTCAATGATTACTGATATTTTACAGATCAACCCATCGTTTAGGTCGAGAAGTTTAGAACTGAATTGCCCATCAAAATTATAGGAAACGAATCCAAGGCTACAATTGTTTTTGACTTATATGGACAGTTCGACATTGTGGTTTATGGGACCATAATTTCTTACGAGCAGTTTGACTGTAGGTAGTATGG